TTCCGTGAGATGCAGCTGAGTGATATTATCCTATTATGCATTTGAGGAAAATATATGCAATAAAATTTACAAGCATTTATTTTTGGTGGAATGTCACATCATAACCCGATCTCATGAATGTGCGTTTGGCACGATTTACTGTTTTTATTTGGCGTACTATTTATATGCAAAAATGGACTTTGGCGTGCATATGATATGCATTTGGTAGGTTTAGGGGTGCGGGGTAGATGCGTATTATATGCACGCCAACAAAGTGCGTATCATATGCGCACAAAACATCCGTATTATATGCACGTCAATCACATGCATATTATAAAGACGGTTTCTGCATATATAGCATGTAAAATACAAAAAAAAAATCGTGCTATTGATACGCATTTGAATAATCCAGCAGCTGTAGCTGTAATAAGAGCGTAAAATGTCATCACGCGTACGTTTATATGATTCGATAGCATCTTAATAAATATACACTGAAAATGATAATGAACCATAATGAAATACATGAATGTATACCAACAAAACTAGTGATGTGTTGTTCAGTAAGGCAGAAATAGCATTTTAAGGTAGCAACTGCATGGTTACCTTTTCAGTGTAAACAGTAGTATAATTAATGTTCCTCTAAAACTGGCATTTTTAACCCGACTCTACATCGATTTTCTGGTCGCATTGCACAGCGGGAATAGTTGGGCTGTTGTGGGACTGGAGGGCAGCGGTTCGTGCAGAGGCAAGCGTTCCCGTGCAGGGCCGTACTGTACGCGCTGTCGCATCCTCGCGGGGTCCCGGTGGCAGGCGTCTCGCCAGCGTCTCCTGTGTAGATCTGGGGCCTCTTTGATACTTCACTCTGCATTTGAATCATGGTCCCTGTGTTTGACAGTGTGCGGTAATTACCTGGCTCCCCTGCTTGATCGTGTAAACTCTCCCAGAACCAAGGGAGATACAGTCAAATGGGAAGATGTTAGAAAAACAAAACAACAACAAAGAAGGCAACGCCATTTATTTGAACACATCGCGAGCAGCTATGTGGATTTTACACCTTTAATTTGAACAGTGGAGATGGAAAACAATTCTTCTTAACATGTCGGGTATTTGTTTAAATAGCGGGAAAGCAGCAGTCCTGAGGGGGCCCGTGATTCCCGGAGCTGCATAATGAGTGAACCTGTGGAAAGCTTTGTGCATGAACACACCGTATATTTGGAATACTTTCACAGTAACGAATTACCAAGAAGCCATTAACGATATAATGTTGTCCTCTAGTTTAGAAGCAAAAGATTAGCGATAATGAGTTGTCAGTGACGTAGGTGGGCGTGGCGTGTGTTTCATTACTGTTTTGACACGCAGTCACTAAAACTCTCATCTACGTGCAAGACTTTAAGCCCTTGAGCCGCTAACCGCATCTCTTAAAAAAAATAAAAATAAAAAAATTGGCCTAATCATTTTTTTTTTCTTTTCTCTAAAATGAAAATAACTCTTGGCTGATTCATACTTTAAATGTAGGCCTTTTTGCATGAACACACATTATTGCAATTTCGCCATATTAGCCTGTATATAATAATAATCATAATAATAAAGCAATGCCCACAAAAGAAAGGAAAAAAATGAAAGGAACGGAAAAAGCAAATCTGATCTAATCAGAGAAGATTCTTATAATATGTGCCATAATGGCTTTCTTCTTGTTGCGGGATATGAGTGTAAATGAAAGGTGTTGGCTGAATTTAATGTAAAGTTGTCCGAGCTTTAAGCCTCTTAACGCACACGAGACGAGCGACGCAAATAACACATTAGCCTATTATCCCAAGATCATTAATAATCGAGCTTTTCTTTTTTTTTTATATTCTCGTGGACACTGAAAGCTTTTGACATATATAGGCCGATTTCAAGATACATGTCAAAGTAGATATTTTACAAGAGTTGATCGGGCGCTGCAATGAGTTTTATTTATGTATTGTTTATTTATTTCGGTTACACTTTATATTAAGGTGTCCTTGTTACAGTGTAATTATACATTTAAGTACTGAGTAATATGAATTAACTGCATGCACTTACTGTATGGTTAGGGTTAGGGATAACCTTGCGTGTTTATGCATAATTTATTGTTATTATAATAGTATAATGTAACGTGTAACAAGGACATCTTAAAATAAAGGGTTACCTTTATTTATTGTTAATGCTTGTTCGTTTATTGTTGCTATTGTATTCGACCAATATATGCTACTATTTTATTTAGTATTGTAAGGATTATATATTGTTTTCCCCCATTTTTTAATCATCGATATCATCAGATATATCTGCACTTCCAAATATGGATAATAAAGGATTATTAATAGCAATAATAACAACGCGTAAATGGTCCGTACTCATTTTGCAGTTGTGTGATACATTTTAATGCATTTATTTGTAAGAACATAATTATAGATGTTGTTCACCTATCAGTGATGAAAAAATATATATATGTATATTTTACATTTAATATGTATGGATTTAACCCGAGGGAAAACTGGCGAGAAAAAAACTATTGCGTAATTCTAAAACGAAATTTATCTAATTGTAGAAGATAGTGTGAAGCACTTAAAAACAACAAAAGACACTTTAAACATCATAACTTACGAAACAAAAACTAATAAAACATGCATACAAAAATGGCTATGCGCAAACTCTTGCTAGTCTGTTTATTTCGCTCTTCGCAATCGGCCCATGGCAAGCTTTGTTCAAATAAATATAATTTATTCAAAACAAATTTCGTTTATATCTGTATCAGTGTTTCTTTATTTTAATTTAGTTAAGAGTTTACAGTGGACGCAGTAATGCGCATGATTGATCCGGCAGGTGTCGCTAAAGAGCTGCAGACTCGCGCTGCTTCCACACACACACACACACACACACACACACACACACACACACACACACACAGAGCCTCTCACAGTGCAGTGAGAATCATGCCACTGAAGGAAATTACGCCTTTCACACACAAGAATTTACAGTTACTCGCGAAACTTCTACAAACATTGGAGTTGCACAGCTTTGCTTCAGGGACTAGAATGACATGTTCCCTGAGGTCAGAGAGAGTTTAAATAGAGCTAAAGCAGTAAACAGAGAAATGATCATCCTAACATAAATACTCACCACAGAACGCGACCTCCACACATATCAGAACTAAAATAACGGAACATTTACAAATAGAGAAGATTAATCTAGAAATCATAATTAACTTTTTTTTTTTTTTTATTGTTTATAGTTGAGCAAATATAGGAGTGAACAGCACAACGCGTGTTCTTCGTTGGGCGCGTATACTCTCGCGTTGGCGACCTGTTGTTCTGTAGAAATCTGTTTATAGGTCGGCTATAAAACAATAATTACAATTTTAGAACAAAACCATTAGACTTAAATAGGATCAAATAGTTAGACGTTTACAGTGCCCTGAAGCCTTTAACTAACACAATTAAGATTTAGATAGAGATAAATCTGATTACATAAAGTTATTTCACAAAACTATAGATATGACTCTGACTGATGGTTTACATTTTGATTATATTTTTATGTTTATTTTATTTTTTTCCCCACAAAAATCTTGAAAGGAGATGAGTTCAAAATTGTGAGAGGTTGTGTTAAAAGTGTTCGCGTTGAAATGGATTCTCATCCGCAGCTGGGCAGACATCGAGAGCTTTAACCCGAAAATGACCTCAATCTGACACCAGCAGGACATCTGACCCTCTCTGCCACGGACCCCGTTCACAACACAGATTTCAGCTTTTTTTTTTTTTTTTTTTTAAGAATCGTCGCACGAGTTTATTCGCTCGGTATGTTCTTTTTTTAAAACGACATATTTTATTGTGTGTATCTGTTAAAAAAGAGGAAGCGGTTATTGAGTTTCAATCATTTTTTAAACCGAAAGCGTGTTTTTCTGTGTCGGTAAAGTTTGCTTTCAGTGAGACCGCAGGATTATTCCGCTGATGCAGTGGACCAACACTTTGAAAAGTTAACCAATGCGCATCATAGGTTGCTCTAATTTCGCGTCATAAAAACATTTAATTTAATCGACCGAAAACGTGAACAGAGCATTTTCTTGCGGTATTAATTTATTGTAGCCTATGACTTTAGTAGATTCCTATACGCATTATTTGTAAAGCTGTAGTTGCTCCAGATGAAATCAAGTCTTGTGTTTGATGTGTCTGTGGTGGTCCTGCGCCGCGGCAGCTCGGTTCTATTCGGATGCGATGGACTTACCGCGTCTCTATAGAACAGCTCCTCTTCTTCTTCCTCGCGATGAAGCAGTGGTCAGACAGCGCGCGCTCTGTGTCCACTGCAGTCCCTTCACTTCTGCTCTCTCCTGTGCATGGTCTTCCCTCCCCTCCCTCATAAACAGAGCGGTTGTTGCATGTATGAAATCCGTGTTAATTGCTTGCTTCATTAGAACTCGGTTCGTGCGTCTGCGGAGCACTTTATTGACCTTGTTTGTTGAGATCCCGCACGAGTTCGGCTCCACTTACCCGTGAATGGTTAATTTCGACAACAAAACAAGTCAGGGCGCTCTAAATGTAGACATTTATGTAAAAAGCGATCGATAGGACGCTGATGTCACATGTGCCGCGGTGCAGGCTATATGATCATTGATGAGGAGTAGTATTTTAAGGGTCTGTTTGTGGTATTAGGGGCCATCTGTAGCACAATCAATATCATTGCTCCTCCTCTGAAACTCCAGGCCTTCCTAATGATTGATGATCTCGGGGCTCTTTGATAACTGAGCGGCGCGATGCACGGCTCACATGTCAAGCTTCAAATGCTGTTGGACTAGAGACAGTTTCCAAATATAAAACTCGCTTTTTTGTCTTCTCTAAAAGTTAACTTTATTCTAAAAGGGGCCCCAACTGAGTATGCATTTTTTTTAACCTTGTTGTGCAAAAGAAAAAAAAGAAGGGGGACGTGACACTCGGTTGTATCAGTTATGCATTAAGCAAAGTCGGGCTGGAACGACTTTCTTTCGTCCAATAAAGATACTAATAGCGCTGTTTTAAGGTTTGGACGCGTGCCCGACGCGCCGCGACGCCTCTTAGTTCTCAGCGCATGTGAGTGGGATCTGCGGTGGCTCCCCCCTCGCGCACTGGACGCTCGCCTCTCGCGTAGGCTTTGGCGTGGAGCTCGTGCAGGACTGGCTGCGCTCAGCGCCACTTCCGGCTTCCGTCATTTCATTCTCCCGCCGATGCGCGCGGCTCAACTCTCTGCGTTCTATAAGCGAGCGAGCGGCCGACCTGCCAGCACTCACTGACACTCACTCATCTCAGACCGCGCCAGAGACCGCCGCGCTTTCCACAAACTCTCCTCTTTTCCGTTTGTTACTGTAGTAATAAAACAAGAAAGCGGACCGGAGGCATAAAGGAGACAGGGACTTGTGGGATGAAAACGGGGCTAAAAAGATTCCTCCTCTCTTGAACATCATCTCCAGCCATCATTCATTCATTACCGTGACAACCTCTGGCTTTGATTGACAGCTGGAGTGGCAAAAAGCCATGAGACGCGACAGTTTAGTTACGCGCAGGTTGTTGATGGGCCGGCTGTAACCTTCAGTTTGGCGCTCGACTTTTTTTCTTTTCTTTTCTGGGGGGCAAAGAGGAAAAGAAGAATAATTGCAAAACTCTTCCTGATGCCTGCGCTCGTTCTCAGCCGTAGTACTGGAGAATAGGAGAATTCGGCAAGTTGCTTGAAAAAGGGGATCTTTCGCGGCGCGTGAGTTTGTGAGCGGACTGGGAAATTCAATCTACGACACAGATCCAGAGGTTTATTGGAGCGCAGGCTGATGGCGCAAAGGGTAGGTTTAAAATCTCCAGCACTCACCTTCACTATACACTATCTATCACAGGCCTCTCCTGCAGTCTGACGCACTTGGCTGGGAATACTCGCCGCGCGACGCTTTGCTCGCTTCGGGAAGCGCAACTTGACCATGTTTTTGGTAATTACGCGCAAATACGCAGCAAACTTTAGCTCCGCGCGAGACTTTTTCTTCTCTTTCCCCTCACGCTAGCCGACTTTTCTCTGCAGGCTTGCCTTTTGTTTTTGTGCTCTTTGTGCTGACTCTCTGCTTCTCTTGCAGTACGATGAGTTGGCTCATTACGGCGGCATGGACGCGGTCGGTATGTACGGGGATCCTCACGCGCCCCGGCCGCTGCCGCAGGTCCATCATCTGAATCACGGACCGCCGCTCCACGCCAGCCAGCACTACGGCACACATGCCCCCCATCCCAATGTCATGCCCACCAGCATGGGCTCAGCTGTCAACGACGTGTTAAAGAGGGATAAAGATCAAATTTACGGGTGAGTTCCATACTCATACCGGACCCGAGAACTCCTTTAGTCGGGCTTCTCTTTCCCGTAATAGTTTTTTTTTTTCCCCTGGAACTTTAAGTAGTTGGTGTTTTTTGTATTTTGTATTTTGTATTTTTTTTTGTATGGCGTTTTGTACAAGCATTGCAATTTGTTTTTACTTATATTTATTTGCTTGACAAATTGGCGTGCAAACTTCAACCTCACGCTTAAAATAATTTCAAGAGAAACGGGAGATTGCTGCTTTAATTCCATTTAAGTTCCAAATCACTGCAGCCCAAAACAAAGTTACGAAACCCGGTTCTCGTCGAGTGTAAAATGCATTTGATTTCTAAGTCATTTCTGAACTGTTGTAGGCTATTTGCAATTCCTGCTTTGTTTCGGGGCTCGTTTTATTCGTCAGTTGGTCTGAAGGTTAGCGTGTCGCTGTTGTCTCTGCAGCCATCCTCTGTTTCCTCTGCTGGCTCTGGTCTTCGAGAAGTGTGAGCTGGCCACATGCACTCCCCGAGAGCCCGGGGTTGCTGGAGGAGACGTGTGCTCCTCAGACTCCTTCAACGAGGACATCGCTGTCTTCGCCAAACAGGTCTCTCACGACCCGCACATCTCACACCAGACGCACTTAAAGCATTCAAACAAAGACAAAAATAGCCGATCCTTTTTCATTTAAGACCGCTAATTATATTTCCACGAATTCACTTGGATGTTGTACATTAAGCGACTGTTTTTCTACCAGATTAGCGACGATTGCAATTTTAATGCTTTTTTTTTTTATGTAATTAACGACTGAATTGCTGCACATATCTTCATCGATTGCTATTAACTCTCATTCTGCTGTGTTTTAGATCCGCGCCGAAAAACCTTTATTTTCTTCAAATCCAGAATTGGATAATTTGGTAAGATAACACTTCAGCACTGATTGTCTTCGGAATAGCCGCACACTTTACTTCTCTGAAATGAGTCTGACTCATTTTTTCGAGACTTTTTTGTTGTTGTTGCATTGATCTGGAGACAGTGAAAGTAAGCAGGAGGGGATGTGATGTGTGACGGGGCTGCTTGAAGCGAGCAGGAGAGCCGCGCACAGCGGTATAGTGTGCAATAAGTCTCATTATTGGGCCGATATCACCATCAACCCCTTTAACACTTCACACAGGCCAATCATTCCACCTGCAAATTTTACATATAAAAAATAATACCTTTTTATTTCTCAAACACATTATTGAATTATTTCTTATTTTAAATTTTTTTTTTTCTGTTGGAATACACTCTTAAAAATAACGTGCTTCAAAAGGTTCTTCAAGCGATGCCATAGAAGAACCATTTTTGGTTCCACAAAGAAGCATTCAGTCAAAGGTTCTTTAAAGAACCATCTCTTTCTTACCTTTTTATAATCTGAAGAACCTTCTTTCGCCCCAAAGAAGCTTTTGTGAAACTTCTTCAGATGTTAAAGGTTCTTTATGGAACCATTTAGACAAAAAGGTTCTTCTATAGCATCGTGAAGCACCTTTATTTTTAAGAGTGTAGGATGTTTTTGTTCAATGCAAAATATAATGCAACGAATATTAAAATTAAATAGCAAAATGAAGGCACACAGCTAACGACGTCCGTTTTCTTTACAGATGATACAAGCCATACAAGTATTACGGTTTCATCTTTTGGAGTTAGAAAAGGTAATCTTTTATTGATTTGTATTGATTTAATTTCAGAAAAAATTTGAATGGATTTACTTCTCCGTCACCAATTTGGGAATTTATTATTATTATTATTATTATTTATGAATAATTCAGATTTTGCATTACTTGGTGTAATAAAAAAAAAATATATATATATATATATATATGTTCTCTGACAAAATTACCCCGAACATAATTTGAGATTAAAACCATGTAATTTAATTTATTTCCACGTTTTTGACAGAAAAATTCTTATTTATTTCACATAAATAAATATTTTCACGAACAACTTCTAGCTTGTAATGGTGATGTTCGTCTCTACATAGCGTATATTCTGTCGATTAACTTGTTGCATGGGTCTCCAGAGAATAATAAGCATTGCTACAGTTTCTCTATTGTTTCCCTGCCTTTGCTCATGATGGCCTTTAACTGTGCTTCTTTCTGGAGCGGCTGGTGACAGAGCTTTTCTTTTCTCTGCTCAAAGGTGCACGAACTCTGCGACAATTTCTGCCATCGGTACATCAGCTGTTTGAAAGGAAAAATGCCCATAGATTTAGTGATTGATGACCGGGATGGCAACTCAAAATCAGACCACGAGGACATCTCGGGATCTTCAACTAACTTAGCCGATCATGTAAGTAACCGGATGGTTTCATTGTTTCTGTCTGCGCTGGATATTAAATGTAGCAGGCATACCATAAAATAGTAACGTGAATGATCCAAATGGCGGATAATATATAAGATATGATGTTCTTAATTCTTGGCTGAAAGTTGCATGCGATTTTTCTGAACTTGTGGCTTGTGAGCAAACACGGTGCATGGAAATATATAGCCTATATATTTTAATTTAGTGCTGTAGAGCTCTTATTTTGTGTTTTTGTATTTTATTATGTCTGTATCTTGTGATGTTGCAATCGCGCGTTGCACAAGACTGCTTTAAAACATATTAATAATTGAGACGGATATGTGATGGCGTTATAACCTATTTTATAGGCTATGCCGAGCATGCACACTATTTTGTTTAAAGTATTGCAGAGTCAAGTTTATAATGTGCTTCTCTATAGTTTGCTTGGATGATGATGTTGTTGTTGTTAATGTGTTTAATTGTCTCTTATTGATTTTTGCTGTGGTTTGAGTCCGGTTTACAGGCCCGACGCTCCATTATAGTGAATTCAATGGCGACTCCGAAGCTTTTGCATTTAAATGACAGCGGCTGTGTTTAAACGTGTTGATTTCGGTGTTGTAAATGAAATGTTGGGGAGAAGAAAGTTTTCCGCGTCGTGTAGTTCACATCGAGCGTCCTGCAGTGAGTCGAGGAGCGCTATATATGATCTGAGGCTTCTGAGGTCCATCTCTAACTATACTGCATTAAAGTGAATCGACCGAATTGATTGATTAAAAACCGGGAAACATTAAAATAAATTTCTGTATACTTAACAACTCACTCGTAGTGTAAAATATGTGTTTGTAAGCCACGCTGTTTCTCTGCTGATTGCTATTGGGTTAGCTGATTTTGATAATACTGACAAAATGAGAAATGTCAGTTCGGTTCATCATTAGACTGGACATCTGGACACTGACCGCGAGGGGAAATTGCATTTAGCATTCTGTGGATTCGGATCCCTTTACGCGGTTTTTATGGGGTTATCATTTAAAACCTGCTGGTATCTTGTGCATGTTGCATCGCCATTACCCTACACGATTAACGCTGCTAATGTTTGTCTGATAGGATGATTTTGCAGCTGATTGTAGGCCACACTGTGAGCTTTAATAGCTGGCGAAAGATTATTTTGATTTTTTTGTTTGCTGTGTGTATAAATATCTAAATATGTCTGAGCTTTAGTTTGGGGTACAGTAGAGACACTTTCTGCATTTTTTTAATCACTACACAAAAACTAGATGCCGAAATGATTTTTCACATTATATTTATTTTGCTTATGTACTAAAATATCATAAACTAATAATAGCCATAAGTAGTTTATATTTTCCACAATTAGCTCATAAACACAAGGCGCATTTTTGTCTCAACTGTACCCATATAAGGTACAGCTGAGACACCAAATCTTAACGCTCTAAAGCTGGCTAACCATTTATTGCAAATATAATAAATTACAGTTGTGCATTTTTTTTTAATTCAGATTTATTTATTCGCTTTATTTAATTCAGATTCAGTTAAACAAAATAGGAACAAAATATTTAACACTAGCAAAGATATGGCAGACAGTACAAATGTAAACATAACAGTAAAAATAACTATGGAAATAGTCATGGAAAACAACAAAAACAGAAACAAAAATAAAGTCCACCCGCCTATCACACACACACACAGACACACACACACACACACACACACACACACACACACACATTATAGGGAGGGACATTATAGCTATTATATATAAGCATAGTGGTTTTTATAGGACCTAACAAAATTTTCCCATAAGGTTAGAGTTTACTGGTATTATACTTGTAACGTAGGTGATACCAGAACACACACACAGCCTCTGAACATGCATTTTATTTTCTGATTGAACTGTTACTGCATACATAGGATATAAAGGGTGTATCAACTGTACCCACTTTACCACCTTGTATATTTCAAACAATGCTATATTATCGTTTTAACATTCATGTTAGAAAATATGTCCATTAATAATAGACAGTTGAAATATCACAAATATAATTTTTAAACATAATTTGTGTAGCATGTGTGTAAATGTGACTTTTAACCTATTATCATAACACTGTACAGCTAAATAGCATGTGACGCAATAGGACACCTGTCTGGGTACAGTAGATACACTGTGTCTCAACCGTACCCCACTGACATACTCACATGTTTCTCTAGATTATGCAAAGACCTTGCATGGCACAATATCATAAAATATGTCTATTTTTAGAGCACAGAGTAACATTTGCAATGATATATGTGAAGTTTAACAGACATAAAATGATAATAAGCTATTCATTGTGGAAGGGACATGGTGAAATTAAAATCTTACCTTGGGAAAAAAAAAACTTTTGCCGATATCTTTGGAGTGGAAAGACACACACCTTTCAAATTTTCCATGATCAAAGAGAATGCTAATACGCATGTGTGAAGCAAAAATCACGGCTCAGGGTTCCTGTGCACGCAAGTTATTTAAGGTGTTTCAACTGTACGCATGTCCCAAATGTACTCAGTCTACCCCTACAGTATGTGCAGCAGTGTGTGTGTGTGTGTATGTGTGAGCGTGAGCGTGTGTGTGTGCCTGTGTGTGTGTGTGTGTGTGCCTGTGTGAGTGTTTGTGTGTGAGTGTGTTGAGGTCCAAACGTCACATTTGCATAGTGTGCATGTGCGGCTGTGTTTCTTGTTGAGAATAAATGATTGCAGGCCTGATGCTGCTCCACATACTGAGAAACGCACAACTTCATAAGCGCCACACTGGCCTGATGTTCAGCTCAGCACAAAACACAAAGCAGACGACTGCTCCGATTAAACGACAGATTTGTTCATTTCATTTGGATCTTGCAATTTATTATATGGCGTTTCTACCTTTTTTGTATGTTTGAGGACAGCAGTTTGATAGTTGGATATGCAAATTTATTTAGGTTGTACCTATCTCATCCATTTTTTTCTGCTTTGATATGCATTTTTAATATATTTCGCCTGGGGCTACACATCATTTGGTGAAAGTTGCTTTGCTGGGGATGAAGGACATGCATTGCTCTCTCTCTCTCTACCTGCTGTAGGCTGTGAATATAGGCACTTTTATTTACTATTGAATGCTACGTTGTCTTTGAGTGTGGTTTATAGTGCTGTCAGAGTTTACAAGGCCTTTGTCAGGATGCCATTATATTTTTGATTTGCCTCCTGTTACTGTCCAGCCTCTCAAAAACATTAATCCTGCAGTTATTAAAAAAATACGATTAGAAATTAAATCAAAGTATCCATGTTATTCAACACAACTGTACGATAGAGATTTGCTCAATAATTGATGTGACATCTGGCTTCTCTGTTGGCTTTGTCTAGTGAATAATCTGTTAATAACCAGTTAATAATATAGATACTAGTTTCAATGTGATTTGAAATTTGTTTGTGTAAATTCTGTTGCAAATTTAAAAAAATAAAAATAGGTGCAGCTTATAATATGTTGACAGTGTTTTTGACATTGTCTCAGTGTTAACATTTTGATTTGGCTGTGACGTTATGAAATATTGTGACGTCCCTTTGGCACCCACATTTCTCCTAATTGTTTGTGGCTGTCAGTAGTTTTTATGTTGATAATATACAAGTAATACAAGTCACATAAAGAAATATATAAGTCGTTTTTTAACGGGAATTATCTTCTGTGAGTATGCTGTAGTGATCTCTCTCAAATATATTATGGCCAGTCGCATGCAATAAGCTTAGAGACCAGTTTTCTTTTTTAAAAGTTTTTATTTAATTTATTTATTTATTTTCTTTTAAAGTGGTGATTTGTCGTGATAGCCTGTTTACACAGCACAGCTCACAGGTCATCTAGTTCATTCCTACAGATCATCAGCACTGATCTGGTGTGTGTGATCAGGGTTTGACTGCTCTCGTCTGGACACACACTCACTTGTTGCTGTGCTTCAGTGCTTTGTGCTTCAGACGCAAGTGTGTGTTTGGGGTTTATTCTCTTCACAGTGATTTGGATTGGTTTTCCAGTTTAATAAACATATGGATTTCAGAACAGGAACTTATTAAATGCAGAAAGTATAAATTGGTAACCTGCAATTGTTAACTATTTCAACCCATAAAAATGTATTTTGTTGGTGTAAATTGATATATGTAGGTGGATATGGAGATGTTAACCTTTTTTTTTTTGTTTGTTTCAAGTGTTTTCAAGTGAGGTGTGTTTTTTGCTATTCTGTGTCAAATAGAAGAGCATTGAAAACATTCAGTCACGTCTCTTAAAATGCTCGGCTGTCAATTACTCGAGCTCAGCGAAGGCTCCTTTCTCATTCTTGTCAGATAATTGGCAGTTTCGCTCTGAATAGTCATTTTGAGATGCTTCAGACCGTCCCTTTAACATGTTTTGGGAGCGCTTGTGTAATTACATGTTACATGCAACAGAGCTGTGTGTGGATCTGACGCTCGCTTGTGTTTCGCATGGGTTATTTTTACGTGTTCGCAAGCCATTCCCAATCTGACGTACATTTTTCTGTAAGTGCGTGGTATCTAGTGACCAGTGTTGGGGGTAACACATTACAAGTAACGCGAGTTACGTAATCAGATTACTTTTTTCAAGTAACTAGTAAAGTAATGCATTACTTTTTAATTTACAAGAGAATATCTGAGCTACTTTTTCAAATAAGTAACGCCAGTTACTTTGTTTCCCATTTATTGATTGAAAGCTCTCCTGTCCCAATGTTGAGAGAAATCGGGAGTAAGATGTTACTTTAGTTCTAGAATAAATGTGAACATGCATTAATTCATCTCACTCACTCACAAAAAAAAATCAGATTTAGTTTTCCTCAAAATTAATAAAAACAGTTAAACGCAACTCAGAATATGACTCAAAGCTGCAATAATTAAATATGTTAAATAATACAAATATCCTTTATGTATTTAATCCCATTTTATTAACCAATTTGCTGCTGACCTTCAGTGATCCAATTCAACCATACTAATAAGCAAAAATTACACAAGATAAACTAACATTTCTTCTTCTTTTTTTATTGCTGAAGAGTGTTGAACTTTCTTCTTCTGCGTTCTACTGTACAGACGTGAATTTACATTTCCTTCAGCCTGAGGCTTTTGGTGTGAAAGGGTTTTTACATTAGCCAAAAATATAACTTTTTATATTAAAAGCAAACAAGCAAGCCCAGTCCAGATTTAAAAAGTAATGCAAAAGTATCGTAACGCATTACTTTCAATAAAAAGTAACGAAGTAACATAATTAGTTACTTTTTTAGGAAGTAACGCAATATTGTAATGCATTACTTTTAAAAGTAACTTTCCCCAACACTGCTAGTGACGACTGTTAATGAAAGTTGAGCGAGCTCTCTGACGGACAGGCCAGGTGCGGGTCCTTCCAGCCATTGTCTCCGGCTTTTATATTAATTACATCTTGCATTATCAGCGTTGAGTCCGTGACCCTGTGCGCCCGGTGAAAGGCAGCCCCCGGAGACACGGCGACCCTCTATCTTATTCTGTATCTGCTCTATTGTGCCGGCGCTGTGTTTGCGGCCTGGTAACGGCGCTCTTTAACACAATTAGAGCAGAGCACGCAGTGGCTGCGTTTGACTCCTAATTATCCGCAGCGATGGGGAATAGTCACATGCTCGCTGCTTTCTTTCCTGGGTGGGGTGGAGGCTCTCTCAGCCGTTTGGGTCACACGATGTCTCTCACTCGCTTTCTTTACAGTTTGTTTGAACTTTAATGGACTCTTGGGAGCCCTGACAACTGTTTTGTTGTGATGTGAGGCCTGAGAGAGAGAGAGGGGCGGCTGCATTATTCATAAGTGGGGAAAGGGCTGTTGCTTTTTTGCTGCCGAGTGGCGTGAGGAAACTGGATATCAGCTGCAGAACTCTGGGAAGCTCGCAGGGAAACATGTAGCCGTCAGCACTTACGGACCTGCGGCTGTGTTCGAGTGGAGCTACAGGAGCGCGTGTGTGTTTTTAGGCCTGTCTTGCGGCGGTGGGCGTCTCGGCTACGGGAAACAGAACCCAGTCATTTTCATGGCTTGGAACAACACAAGCTCGAGACGGCTGTTTTTCCTTCCACTCTTCTCTAAAGACGTGCTGTGAATGTTCTGACGGAGCCTACGTCATTTTCGCTGTGGCCATACGAAACAATTACATGAACAACAGCTGATATTCATCTCAGATAAATATGGCCCAATCCACACACAGTTTGGGAAATGTTATTAAAAATGGCATAAATCATATACCCTCCATGATCTTTTGGAATAAAATAGTTTGATGTAATATGAAAACATACTTCTGATGAATTCCAGCAGCTCAAGTGTATTTCCAAGAGTCTGCTCTGAACAGTTTGAGCAGCACAGATTGCTTGTGATGCTGCTTCACTCCAAGAACAATAACTACCACTATTACGACAATTATGTTAGTGTCCACACTAACGAACAATATATTTCTGTTTTAACGATCACTGCAGTTTTGTCATCTGCCGCTTTAAATGCTCAGTTTATTTAACTCGCTTCGGTGATGTTAAATAATATTTTTGACTTCAGTAAAACTAGCTCATTTTTAGGGTACAGTTTTTCACAGCGTATGCAGTTGACTCCATAGAGGGATTGTAAAGTCTTTTTCTCACTAGAGTGGCAAAGGAAATTCCTCCTCTTGCTCGTCTATGTGTAACACAGATAAAGCTCTTCATGTACAGTACAAATCCTGTTTCCCCCGCGGCCCGATCGGACCCTGAGAAACCTCAGGAAGGGTGAGGAGGAGATGCCCTCTTACACACGACAAACGGCCCACCACTGTGTGTGTGTGTGTGTGTGTGTGTGTGTCAGATTAGATACTGTGTTTGCTGTTTGTGACAGTGGAAATGATTAATTGCTGCTCAAAACACAGACATTTAAGTTGAGTGTTAGAATTCAGCCAAGTTTGCGTCATTCCAAATTTGTGTGACTTTCTTTCTTCTGAGGCACACAACAGAACATGTTATGCAGAATGTCCAAGTTGCTATTTTCCATATAATGAAAGTCAGTGAGGGAGGATCATAGCAGTCGTCCAAAATATTGTCCTATCCTAACAAACCATACATCAATGGAAAGCTTATTTATTCAGCTTTATTCATTATGCATAAATCTCAATTTCCAAAAATTGACCCTTTTGTGGTCCAGGGTCACATATTACCGTCCAGTTCTTCTAAATGTGACGACAAGGCATGAGGATATTATAAACATTAACGGATGATCTGTAAAGCTGCATTGATGTAATGAGTATCATGAAATGTGCGATACAAATAACATTTACTTGGTGTTTAGATGTGCATCTAAATCTTTAGGATGGTGAAGGGTTTGTTGGTCTGTGTTTACTGTCCAGCTCATTCACGAGTCCTCTCTTTCTCTTTGTGCTGTGGATGGGGAAAACGGACGGATGGTTCCGCTCTGGCCGTCTCAAGAACCCAGCGTCCTGGAGAGATCACGATGATGCCACGTCCACACACTCGGCCGGCACGCCGGGACCCTCCAGCGGAGGACACGCGTCACAGAGCGGAGACAACAGCAGCGAACAAGGTGGGTCCTGTGATGTACCTGTGCTTTCATCATGCTACTGAACCATATCAGGTGTGATGTAAACACTGTTTACTGCACATGCAGCCCTGAATGTGTGAACACGTGTGTGTGTGTGTGTGTAACCTCAATTAAAATAGTAAAACCTCACATCAGCTACGCTGTATAATACCATCCCACAGTCCCCATGAGGAAAACAGAATAATAAAGTTTTAATTAAAATGTAAAACTGCTAAATATTTTCTGTGAGGGGTAGAGTTGAGGCCCATTCACGCCAAGAACAATAACTATAATGATAGCTATATTTGCATACACATCAATGTACAAAAACATTCTGTTTATTCTAAGCTTTCTGCAGCTTTATATCCTGTCGATGTTTTTTTATCATTCATTAGCTGGAAAAAAATTGTTTTGAAAGTGTTTCCAATTAAATCATCCCCCTGTGTCATTATCGTTACCGTTGTGGTGTGTTGTGGATTCACTATTCTCTTAAATTAAGTCAAGTCACCATTATTTATATAGCGCTTTTTACAATGCAGATTGTGTCAAAGCAGCTTTACAGTATTAAACAGGGAAATAGTGTGTCGAGATAGTGTGCCGTTCTCCTCTGGCCAGACGAGACCAGCAGTTTAATTCTAGGCTGCAACAAAGTCAGATTGAGCAGAGGACTCCTCTGGTTCCCGTGAGTTCTTAGAGTTAGAGTGATTATTAAAACTTTATAGTTATCACTGTAGTTATCATTCTTGGTGCGAACAGGCCCTTCAGGGTTAGGCGCTAAAAAATATCATTAGATCAGTATAAAAATTGTATAGCCTACTAATGATATAGCAATATACTGTATAATATATAATAGAAATATAATATAGTGTATGATCCATTGTGCATCTGTGTGTGATGAAGCAGAGGAGAGTGTTATTGATCAAGCTGAAGTCATAAGTACCAGTGAGCTGTTCTCCTCGCTGCAGTTATCGACTCTCTCACACTGGATCCAGTAACGGCTGGTCGATATGGGCTAACACACTTACGGTACGGCACGCAGAACTGCCTCGAAGTGATCCGGTCAAGCCCCGGCCCAAACGAAACCAAACAGAGAGTGAGACCGGACACAGAGAGAGACGAGAGACAGGACAGAGAGAGACTGGACGGGGAAAGACAGGACAGAGAGTGATAGAACAGAGAAAGACAGGACAGAGAGAGAAAGACAGGACAGAGAGTGAGACAGTAGATAGGACAGAGAGAGAGAGAACAGAGAGATTCTGCAGGGCAGAATTAGGTAAATATCCTCTAATCATAAAGATACAAAAAAGGGCAATTAAATTCTGGAAACATCTGAAGCTCAGTGACCCCCAATCATATCATTATAAAGCCCTGCAATACCAAGAGATGAGCAAATTAAAACTCTTTCTGACCAGGAGGAAGTGCCGTATCTGTTAGGAGAACAGAAGAACTGCTGTGTGTTTGCTGCTCAATATGTGTCTGCCTGTCACCATAGAAGAGAAAACACTCACCCTGCCCTGATCTGATGTTTCCAGCACATCTACATTATATTACGCCAAATTACTGTATTATATTACTTATTATTTTGCTTCTGTAAATCTGTCTAATCCCTTATTTTATTTTTAGTTCTAGTTTATATACTTACATACATTGGTAATTCATTTTGCACTACATGCTTAATACTTTTTATATATTAATATTATTATTATTACTATTACTATTATTCTTTTTCTTTCTGTTAATACATATGTGTACTATTTGTAAGCAGTCCAGCTGCAATTGCTTTGGCAATACAAATGTATAATTTTTGTCATGCCAATAAAGCACTCTTAAATTGAAATTGAATTGAATTGAACAGAGAGAGAACAGTTAGAGAAAGACAGGACAGAGAGTGAGACAGTAGATAGGACAGAGAGAGATTTACTGAACTCTGAGCAAAATTTGTGCTAGCCACTCACAATGTTAGGTGTTAAACAGGTTAACTCTAAACTGACTCACTTTATCTTTTGATTTATTTTGATGGATTTAATTTTTTTGTTATCTATGTTGTTTTTTTATTGTTACTTTTTTATGATATAAATAAATAAATACATACATACATAAATAAATAAATATATTTAAATATATATATCCTGAGGAGGCAGAGACGTGGTGCTCTGGTGCAGTAATGCAGCCGTCCTGCAGCGCGCCGTGACCTTTCACCCCGGCCAGCAGAACAGACGCCTCATTTCTCACATTCTTTCAATTATGTTCACGCTTGAAGCGCTCGCTCACTCTCAGCACCCAGTCCACACATACACATGAGACAGGACAAGCGTGAGTTCCTAAAAGAAAGATTTTGGGACAGTCCTGAAAAGTGTGAGAGAGACACAGACAGGTATCAAGCTTTCTGGACTCTGGATTCTTGTGCTGGTTTGAATATACGCTTACACAGCATCGTTCTAATATACATTCGAGTGTGTGATTGTCTGTACTTCTGAGGGTCAAATGCTTTTAAATGTCCTCACAGATGTAGTGCATTGAGGACATTTGATGAGCTGCTCACTGTTTGAAGACTCATAGATTAGTCCAGTTTCCTTCTGTTTTCTAAATTCACAATAGCATTTAAAGGGGTCATATGATGCTTTTTTAAAGATCATTATTTTGTGTATTTGGTGTAACAGCATATGTTGACATGCTTTAATGTTCAAAAAACACATTATTTTTCAAATACTGTACATTATTGTAGGTCCTCTATGCCCCGCCTCTCTCAAATGCTTCGTTTTCTACAAAGTCCCTCCTTCCGACAAGCGCAGTCTGCTCTGATTGGCCAGCTGACCCAGTGCATTGTGATTGGCCGAACACCGCAAGCACTCGTCGGAAATGTAATGCCCCTTACCATAATCACGAGCTTCATCTTTCAAAATAAATGTAAAGAGAGTAAATAATGTCATTAGTTTTACCATCAGTTCAAGCCCGAAAGGGGAACAGACACAGTAATGATGCAGTACACAA